TCTAGCATCAATAATATTTTTAAGAATTGGTGCAGAGAGTCCTCCTTGGTTCAAATTAAGCTGAAAGGTCGAGTAGCGAGGAAGGAACTTGGATTTGTTCTTGATCCAGTTCATTATAATTTTGTTGATTTCCTCAAGCTGTTTTCTACTAGATAGAAGTAGATAAGTGACATACCATATTTTCGAGATTAGAAGTGATTTTGTAATTAGAATTTTGCCTTTGAGAGACAAATTTCTAGTTATTAGGTTGTTAATATGATCTTTAATCGATTTGGTTATCTTTGTCCATAGGTCTTTTTTTGGAATACCTTTGGTATCTACTTCATAGCCTAGGATTAAAAGTGTGTCTGTATCTTGAGTAAGGATTTTGAATCTGTTTTGATTGCAGAGCTCAATTCTGCAAGCATTGTCTGTGAGAGGAACTAGGATAGACTTTGACTTGTTAATTTTAGAGTTAGAGGCAGATTCATATTTGCTGAGAGTGTTATTGAGAGAATCCCAGTCTGAGGGTGAGCCAATTCCAATCGTTAGGTCATCTGCATAAGCTGCTATTTTAAAGAAAGAGTCTGATACTTTGATGCTGTTAAGGTTTGTCTGTAGAGATTGGAGAAGAGGGTTAATTGCCAAGACATATAGAAGGGGAGAGAGAGGGTTGCCCTGTCTGACCCCTCTTTCTACTCTAAAAGGCTCAGAGAGATGTCCTACATCCATAATATAGGCTTGTTGTAGACTAAAGAGAGAGTCAATAATCTTGCTGAACTTGAAATCAAAGTTTATTTTGTTTAGGACAGTTTTCATAAATTGATAGCTAACTCTGTCAAAGGCCTTTTGCTGGTCGAGGAAGAGTAACCAATTTTGTTTGGTTTGATCAGATTGGTTTCTTAGAGTGGTAAAGATGTCCAAAGCTGTATCAGTAATAGATCTGCCAGTAACAAAGGCTTGTTGGCAAGGAGAAATTATACTGCTGCAAATGGAATTTAGTCTGTTGGTAAGGATTTTCATAAAGATCTTAGCATCACTATTAACAAGTGAAATAGGCCTCCAGTTACTAATATTCTCTAGGTCGTTTGACTTCTTAGGAATAAGAGTAATTATATTTTTGCTCCATGAGAGAGGTATTTGTCCTGTGATTAAGACGTTGTTAAAAAGCTTAAAGAGTAAAGGAAGAAAAAGGTCTTTTAGAGACTTGTAGAGTTCATAGGTAAGCCTATCTAGTCCAGGAGACTTGTTGTTTGGGAGATTATCAATAGTGTTACTAATTTCTTCTTCTGTGATAGGTTTAACTAATGTAACATTCTGGTCTTGTGAGATGAAAGGAGCATTTCTAAGTAACTCTTCTGCTGCTTCGGTATCAATAGGTTCAGCTTTGTACAAAGATTCATAGAAGTTTTTGATATATTCTAGAATTTCTGGTTGAGAGTTAGAGGTAGGATTATCAGGGTTTCTGACTTTGGTACTACATGAAGAGGAGTGCCTAATTTTGTATCGAGAGAAAAAGTATTTGGTTGATTTTTCTCTTTCTTCAATCCATTTGGCATTTGATCTAGTTTGCCATTTCTCAGAGAGATGTTGTAGCTCTTCTTGAATTTGGTCTTTAATTTCTTCAGATGAAGTTTGTAGGTCCATAAGCCTAGGGTCATTTGCTATCCTATTGTTCAACTTAGATAACCTATTCTGTAAGATTTGGATTTTCCTTTCTGGGAGCTGTTTAGGTTTAGCTGATCGAATTATTGACTGCATTCTGCACTTGTGAAAATCCTACTTGCTAATATCATTACAGCTTTGAAGATTTTTTGTAATTTCATTTCTAATTTCAGGGTCTAGTAGTTTCTTTTAATCAAGTCTCCAAATTGTAGCTTGAGTTAGTGTAGATTGATACTGAATTGTACATTCTATGAGAAGGTGGTCTGAGTTACCAAAACATGTTAGAGTTTTTCTTTCTAAGTAGCTGAAGTTTGCATCAATAAAAATGTAGTCTAGTCAAGTTGCCATTCATCGACTACTCTGTGTGTTTTGATAGAAGATAATAAACGGGTTATTCTCAAGGTTGTTCACTGAGTCAGTGAATTCAGTTGTTAAGTTTTGTAGCAAAGCTCTAGAGGGGTCATTTTGAGCTAGTGCTTGACTTATTCTATCCTTTTAGGGGTTTAAATTCATGTTGAAGTCTCCAGCAAGTATATTTATAAAGCCTTTGTCAATTTGAGGTGCCTAGTTTGAGAAAAATATTTGTCTGTCTCTCATATTAGGAGGGGTATAGACGTTTGTAAGTGAGAAGTTGAGATTGTTAACTGAAATTTTGGCAAGAATTATTCAGTCTTCGAGAATTGATTTTGATTCTTTGATCTTAATATGTTTTTTCCCAGCTAGTATTGCAGTTTTAGTAGTCCAAAAAGAGTCGAAGCCCTATTGTTGAGCTAAGAAGTTTCTAGTGTTAAGATCATTTAAATTAGTTTCTTGAATTGCGATTATATCTAGGTTGTATGATTTTAGTAAAATTAAAGTTTGGTGAGCTTTAGCCTTGTTATTAAGGCCTTT